AACCCAGTGTCTCCATTCTCTCTCAGGTGTACTTTACAGACTACTAGTTTCTTCTGCTACATAATAGTTATATATATATATATATATATATATATATATATATATATATATACACACACACACACACACATATATAGGATTTGTGATAGGAGAGCATTTTGCAATCTCTGGATGTGAATATGCATAACTTCATCAAAATAAATAAGGTCTATGTTATTCTCAGACGTGACTTTGTTTGAAACCATCTTTCCTAAAATTGCCTTAAAGATTACATTAATACTTAACGATATTCCTCTTGTGGGCAAACCACTGTAAAATGCACTTCTTCATGTTTAAAGTAAGACTTGCAGAATGGTAACAACTCCTAACAACAAAAAGACAGCTGGAGGTCTGCAGGACCGAACCAGAAGCACTGATACCACTGCAGATGAAACACACCATCAACATAATCCTTTTTTTTCTTCTTTTTTTTTTTTTCTCCAGAGGCACCAGATGGCAGCATTTTTCCCTCACTGAGTGTGATCTCATCCTCTCAGACTCACTCCTGGGATCATCAGGCTTTGAGGCTTTGTGAGCCACAGTGACCTCAGCTGAACTGCACCTTTTCTGTTGCCACCTGCTCCTTTTTCCTACTTTTATTGGACATGCACAATCCAGGCCCTTGAAGTTGTGGTTGCCTTTTCCATGTGCAGGTCTGAGAGTCTAAAAAGAATCATTAGAAACAGGTATGCAAAAAATTTAGACCACAGAATAGGGCTCTGACCTCTAAATTTTCCACATCCTCTAAATATTAAGTATAATGAAGTTTATTTGATATTCTTGTTAACTACATGCTCTTTTCCATATACATACGTGCACAATGTAATACTTGTCTACAAGCAAGTTTGGCATGTGTCCTTTTCTATCAGTGCTTTATTCCTTGAATAATATTTCATTATACAAAAGTTATGCATGTCAAGTTATGCGCTACTAGACTTGTAACCTCCGTTGCAAGAACTCAGTTCTGGACAAATAATCTGAAGCAGAGCAGGGATTTTGAGAACTAAACTGCAAGCTCTGGGGTTTTTTTACAGTTACAGACGTGGCCTAAAGCTTTGTGGGCTAGGAATTCTGTTATCTCACCATCCTCTGTTCTGCTTCTTCCCTTCATCCTCATGTTATTGCTTTCAATGCTGCTTTGTTAGTGGTTTTGTCTTAGAAGAAAAAAACCTACACATTATGTCCAGCTGTAAAAAACTATTCTTAAATCATCTACCTTTAAACTTGAATTCTGCAGCACTGGGATGCAAATGTTTATTTATTTGAATGATGTGACTAACACTGACAGCATAAGAAAGGCTCTTTATCCAAAGTGGGGTTGGATTGCTGGGCCCCAGAGGGTGAAGGAATAGCAGCCCTGGCTGCTGCTTTCTTTGACTGTTACTCCATCAGGTTGCTGGTGTTTCTGCTGTGGTGACTGTGTTAATGCTTTACAAATGCTATGAGCTCAGTAGTAGACTATTTGGGGATTGTATAATTTATTAACTTCTGACAAGCAGGCCATTATTTTTCTGAAGAACATGTGTGACAAGGGACTTTACTTTTATTTTATTTTTCAAATTTCAGCCAAATTCAACATGAGTGTCACAGGATAGGGGCACTAGATCCATGACAGCCCCACCCTTCCTCTTATTTAATACCAAAAACTATCTGTAAACAAGCAAGAAGGAGGGAGGGAAGAGTAAGTATTAAGTACTCAGAGGAAGTATTACGAATCCTGTATGATTAAAACATTAGGCTGTGTAAATTTGGGAAACAGTGCTATTTTCTTCTGTTAAAAAAAAATATAATTTAAAAAAATACTAAAATTCCTTCTATTTTATCTCACTTTCTTGTAGCAATTTTTTTTCCAGTTCTGGATTTGCCTGTACTTTGCCATAAGCTAGTATCTACAAAGAGAACATATGTAGCTTTATGCCCAAGATGTGTGAAATAAATGCAAAGTATATGAGCATCTCACCTGAAAGTGGAGTGGCACTGCACCGCTGGAAGTCAATTGTGTTAAGTTTCACCTTATCCTCTAAAAAAGAAGGCTAAGAAATTTAAATATATCTCCACTTTTTTAATTATTGATGCAATCCCTTGTGCACAGTTGCTTTGCAAAGTGGAAGAAAGATTAACTGTAAATACTTTATTTTGTCTTCCTATAGCACTGTAATTACTATTTCCCACCTTCTCTGAGAAAGACAAGCAGGTACCTGTGATGAGCTTTGTGAGAGGAGAGATGCTGAGAAGGTAAAAAGAGCGTCTGGTGTCACTCAGTATGGAACATTACAGCTTGCCATTATTTATTTTGGAACTGTGACAACTGACCAAAAGATGGGAACTATAAATAGGAATGCAATGAGCATTAGCTGCGCAAGAAGGGAAAAACAGTGTAACTTGGCATGCAGCAAAACGTGTATCTGGCACAGCATACAGCTGTCCCTGCAACTCCCACTGCCATCCTGGGGGATTTTGCTGATTTCCCACTACTTACAATGAATTAGGAACAGCATCATCTCTGTTAGCTTTGATTCTTACTCAGTAGAGCTCGCTCAGATAGGTCCTGATAAACCTTTACCTAAGAAAGATACAAGTCTCCTCCTACACGTAAATTACAGGGAGAAGATTGTTTGTTTTGTGAAGTGTAACTGCTATGTACCATTCACAGGCTGCATCTTGCACAGTAAGTGAAATAATTGTTGGAACAAGCTGATGGAATCACTGCTTTCCTTTGCTGCAGTTCAGAATGAAAACACCAAACAGGGCCAAATTCTGCCTAGAAGAGTTCATTGTGTTTTTGCTTCTAGACTGCCATGGCTGGAGGATGCATCTGTAAAAATTCAGGGCATGTTAGCTTAGAATGGACTGAGATAGAGACCTTGGCAGTTTTGCAGCAGAAACATATTTTCCACTGACTCCTGAGCTTAGCCTTCAGTCATGTCAGTCTGGTATGTGAGAGCAAGCAACCCAACACACATACTTTCCTTTTTGTGTGTACATTGCTATATGATGCATACAAAACATGGTCAGTGTCCTCAGAAAGGCATCCCCTGAAAGAAAATCTATAGTTTCATGTTTTGAACATCCTCATTTCCCCTTCTTATCCTTGTAACATTTCCTATATGGCCTTAGCCACAGAGAAATGTATTTTTTTTTTCTGTAGCAGACAGTGACAATTTCAGGTGTTATAGCAGGTGATGTAGGAATGGGAGGCTGCAAAGAGTGGCTAGGAAGAAGTTGTTACAATGCTCTATGTCTAAAAAGTAGGCAAAAGTAAGCATTTCATTAGGAGGGGCAAAACAAGGTACACATGGAATAAAATTTGAGTTTTTCCCAAAAGACACAAGAATAACAAATGTCTTAAGAGCTTCCGCCACTGATCATATTACAGTTGCTGTGACAGGACTATGGCTGATATACTGTGTGTGATTTCTCTCTTGGTGCCTGTTCTCCACTGATTGTCCTGCACAGAAAAAAATACAGGTATTGCAAAGGGACAGTTGGCTGCATTCCAACCCAAACTATAGCCTGGACTGTTCTCCTGAGCTGGGCTAGATGTTGCTTCTGGCCACACAGTGAATTTTGAATGCCTGAAGATGTCTTTAATAAGTAAAGATGGCACTGAATTGTGTAGGCAAGGATGTTACACACTTTTCCTTGCTTATTTTGTTTTTCAGTTGGGAGAAGTAGGCTTTCTTTGTTTGGAGTTATATTTTTGTCTTCAGTGAGTGCTTCTTGGGAGCTGAAGTAGAGCTAGCCTCACTCAAGACATCTCTAAGTTTTAAGCAGTTTTTCCCATCCGAATGGGACTGGATAATTTCCACTGCCAGATGAACAGCAGAACATCAGCCAGAAAAAACATTTAAGTGCATTTACACGTTTGATGCTAACGGCTAGAGAAAGAAGAATGGATAAATGGTGTTTACTCCATTTATCCTCAAGCACAGCACAGTACACAGCTTCCTTTAATAAGCCCCTGTAGCATAGGCAAGAGGCGATGGTCCTCGTTCCTGGTGTTTGTGATAATTTGCCAATGAAACACAGAGGTCTTGGATGGTTTGTGCATTGTTTATTGCAGCTTTTACCCCTGCAGCCAGATTCTCCAAACTGCTATTTTGTTTTTTCAATGAAGGTTTCAGAAGGGATTTTGTAAACAAAAAAATACCCCAACAAAACTGCTAGAGAGTGAAAGGCTGCTATCAGCTGATTTCTTAGAGGAGGTAAGTTTATAAGTGATTGGGAAAAGGCAGAAGGATATCTGGTCACACACGTGTGGACACACCTTTGCATTGCTCCTCAGGAGTGTCCAAGCGGATGAAGCTTGCCCCGGCGTTGCAGTTACACCCTGCACTGCGTGCCCAGCGCGAGACTAAACCGATGTTTTGTCCTGCAGACAAAAAGGAGTCCTTCGGCTTTGGCAATTTAACAGGAGTTCTGGATTAAGTAGGGAAAGGGTAACTAATTCTGTTGAAACATCTGGATCATACAGATGAGAGTGGTCGTTCAACACTAGCATACAATCCTCTTTGTGGTTGGCACTAGGGATATCCAGGGGACCTTCCCTAGATGTACACTTGACAAAGAGCAAAAGGGAAAGCACCTCAAGCCCAGCTCAAGGGTGGGTTATTTGCTCCGGCACTCCCTTTCTCATCGCACATCCAGGTCCCCGCCCGGGACGGCTTCTCCTCGCGTGTCAGCTGCTCGGGCCTGTGGCAGCGAGGCAGAGGGGAGAGGACATGGGAGATCAGGGCTAGCGGAGTGGGAATTCTGTCACAGGACGGGGAGAAGGCAAACCCACCGCTCCAAAAGGTGAGATAATTGTAATAAGCCCCAGAACTAAGAAGCGGGCCCGCGGCCTGCCAGAACCAACCGGCTCTCCTCGGGCGGCCTCGCTGGGCCGCGGGAGCTACCGCAGCCAGCCGGGAGCAGTGGGAGGAGGAGGAGGAGGAGCGGGGGGAGCCGGCAGCGCTGGCAGCCGAGCGGGGAGGGGGCACGCGGCGCCGAGGAGGAGGAGGAGGAGGACTAAGATGGCCACCAGCCGCCGCGGGGAGCGGCCCCGCTCCCTCCGCGGCCCCCTCGGCGCGGCCCGGCCTTGATGGGGCCGGGACGACCCCGGCGCCCGGACGGTGCAGCAGCAGCAGCGGCGGCGCCTCCCGCCGGAGCCCGCCCGGGAGGAGCCGTCCTCCCGGCCCGGCCCGCACCGCCCGGCCGCGGCCGCCGCGCCGCGTAACTCCCCGAGCCGAGCCCAGCTCGCGGAGAGAGAGAGAGCACAGCGAAGAGGGGAGAGCGAGGAGGGACGGACCGCCCGCCGCCCCCTCCCCGGGCCGGCACAGCCGCACCGCCGGGACCTAGCTGCCCCCCGGTGAGTGCCCGCCGGCGCTGCCCGTCGCCCCCCGGGCCCCGCCGCTTTGTTGCGCCGTCGGCGGGCCCAAGGAGACCCGGCGCCCCCTCAGCCCGGCCGCAGGCCCCGCTCCCCGGGGATGCCGAGCGGCCAGGCCGGGCTGGAGGAGGGGGTGGCGGCGCAGGTGCCGGGGGCGGCCGATCATTGTCAGGGCGCGGGCTGGCTCCAGTGCAGGAGCTGTGCCAGGGCCGCGGCGAGGGGGGGCCCGGGGGAAGCCCGGGGGTCGCGAAGGAGCCCCGCGAGCGCTGGGCCGCTCCGGCCGCCTTTGTTGTGGCTGGGGCGGGCGGTTTTCCTGCGGGAGCCCCGGCCGGGTGCGGGAGGGGCCCGCCGGCCCCAGCCCTGGGGAGGCCTGCAGGGAGTGTGGGGGGGTCGTCCCGGGCCGCCGCGGGCACTGGGCGGCTCATAGGCGGTGGGTCGAGTCGGCTTCCCCCCCCTCCCCCGCCCCCCTTCCCCCGCGTTTTATTTTGATTTTTCGTGCGGGTACTGATTTTGGCGGCAGTCTCGAGCTGTCGACCCCGCGGTGCGGTAGGGACATTGAAGTTACGGAACCCGACAGGTTTGTCCCCGGTGCGTCCCTGGGGACAGGGGAGTCGTGGCTCCTGGAGGGTTCGGAACATGGTGTTAGGGGGATTTGCGGGGTTGCTGAAGTACCTGCTCCTTGTCTTGAGTGCGGTTTTCGCCCTGCAGTTCTGAGAGGTTTTCCACTCAAATGGAGAGGTTTGCATAGAGACTAGTCAGTAGTGCTGGGTGCTGAAACTCTGTGTGATGTTCACCTTGATATATTAAGACTATAATTTCTAGCTGTGACTGCATAGCAAAACACTTATGGAAGAGGTGCAAAGGACTAGATGTATTTATTTTGACCTATAGTTTCATGAATGATTAAACTGAAATTTTTTTGGCTAGCTAGAGTAACTTGCAAGATTTCAGTGTAGACCTGTGAGTCCTGGCCTTATTTTAATGACTGAATTTTGGTTTCTTGGTAATATAGGTTTGTGACGAGGTCCATGCATGTCCACATATTGGACCATGAAATTTTACTACAAAAATCAAGTGGTGGGTTTCCTGTTAAGAAAAGTAATTTTTGCATGTTGTAGCTAACAGATGTTATTTTTCTGCACCAAAGCTGGGTTGCTTCCTGATGCCTGTGCATGCCTTTGTGCCCAGTTATGGCTGTACAGCTGTAGGATATTCCTGAGCTCACAGACTCCTATGGATCCAGTCAGGCTCTGCAGAGAGCCAGCTTGATTGCATCCTTGGCACATTTTGGTGACAAGCTAGCAGTATCTTGAAGTAGGCTATGTGAACAAATTGTACAGTCTGTGTGAACTGACATTTCTGCAACATCTCACTCATCCTGTGCAATCTTGGTAGACAGAGCATTTGAAGATATGAACTTACTTGCTGTGGGAACTGGTCAGTGGCAGTAAGCCAGCCAAGTCTCTTTCTTTGCTTTTAGGTTATAGGCAAGCAGGCATTGTGTCCTGGAAATGTGTCCATGTTAACGTGGCATTGTGCCTTTGTTCCGTGGTCCTGGTCAAGACGTGCTGGCAGCCTAACTTCAGCTGCATGTTTGGTCTGTGAGTGGGTGTCTCCTCACTGTGTGGTGTGGGTCTTCCAGAGCCAGCTCTGAAATACTCAACACTGTTGATAACAAGATGTTTTGGGTAGAAGAATCCCTCAAATATCAGATTGGAGGATGATGCATGGTATTCTTCAGTTTGGTATGTGTTTGGTAGGAACTGGACACATTTGCTTTTCTAGTTAGGCAATTTTAGGCAGCCAGACTAGGAGTAAAAGTGTAGTATGTTTTGGGTTTTATGGTCATATTGCATCTCTTAGCCAGCTGATTATCTAGTTGAAACAAGTTAATCATGGTGCTGCTGTGACTTAGTATCTTCAGCACCCATTTGAAAATGTATTACAGCATTTCTATATCAAGGTTTAAGTAAGGGTTGGAGTGTCCAGTCAATTGTTTGTTTCCAGTTTAGTACATCAAGATCTGCTACTTGGTAGTACTTCTACCACACAGTGCTAGGGAAAGAGAACGCGTCTATGGGAAAAGAGCTCTTATCTTTTTGTTCAAAGTGGTAACAGAAAGATGCTAAATAAAAAAATAATTATAGTTATTGATAATTTCAACCTTGGCATAACAAGGCTAAATTATCTTGTTGCATCTTGGTACAGGAGTGGTCTGAGAAGATGATCTGACAGCTGTCTGTGTGGCTATGCAAACCTTGGTACTTAATTCTGGTTTAGTGGAGCTAAAATGGCAGAAGTATGCAAGGTGAGCAGGTCTTCAGGATGTGTGCTGCTGGTAGAGGAATTCAGCAGTGTGTTTCACATCCACCAACCTTGCATTAACTAATTCACAGTTTTCTGCAAGTGTTCTGTGGGATTTTTAGTGTTCAGGAAATTTCAGTGGTGCTTTATGTGCAGGGAATGGGGGTGAGTGTGGGCAGATGTTCTGCTTACCCCTTGAAATGCTCAATGTCATGAGATTGTTTGGAAACTTTGGTGTTGTAACATGGTGTTTCACTTCCCAAATGTTGATATTAATTGTTCCGTGTCTGGTTTCTGAAGATGCGCTAAACTGAAAAATGTAAAGAGAAGACAGTGATTCCCTCTTGGGTGGTTAAACTGACAGAGGAGAAATCTGTTCATGTTAATTAGCAGTTTCGTTTATGTGTGTAAGGGATTTTCAGTCCCTATTGCAAAATAGTGGAAATACTGTTTCAGCAGTGGCCTTTGACTTGCAGGACTTCCTGCCATGAGGAAGTCTTGTGTCATTTGTCCAAAATAAACAGATTTTGAAGAGTGCAGATAAAGTATGCTGTGAGAAACCATACATCTAAGTAACAATTTACCCCCCTATTGCTTGCTTGCTTTTCTGATAATTAGTACTATGGAAGTCTATTCTTACGATATGTTACTAGAATGTAACTTGCATTTGGTAATGGTAAATAGAATTTTCTGTTGGTCCACAGTGCAATTTCTGGATATGTATGTAGGTGGAAAACAAATTATTTCTTTATGTCTTTGATATAGAAGCTTTTAACTTCGCTGGTTTCCTTCTTGATTCTTTTTTTCATGCTGGTGGTGCTGCTGATTACAATAGTACACTATTGAAAATATCCAAGTTATGACAAGTACATAACAATATTAGTTTCTTTGATGTGTTTGGAATGCTGGTTGCTTTAAAAAGTACTTTTTGTGTTATCTGTCCTAAACGACCAACAGCTTGAGTCTTTAAGCCTTCATGTGTTGAAGGAGTGAGGTGCATTGATGTAAGATTGCCATATCTCCTAGAACAGCTCTCTTTAACTTTGTAGTTTAGTTTACAGTTTCGTAATACAAGAGTGAAACTGTTTATCTTCTGTTGGAGACTCTCATGCTGCTGCTGGACTGTTCATGCCTTGTCCAGGCTGGGGAGGACATGATTATAAGGTCCCTGTGCACATTTGTTTTACTTCGCTGTCCCACGGACAGTATAGAAAGTGTTGCCATATCCTTTTGTTGGGTACAAAATCCTGCTGGCAGGATGTAACATTTTAACTGAAGTCCTTGGTGGGGAGGTGAGAGCAGCTTCTTGGCTCAGGTGAGAGCACTGCAAGCTTTGCGGGACCAGCTATGCGTTAGTGGTGATCCAGCCTTGAGAGCATCTGTTTGGCAAGCAACCCATGTTTGATGAGGCAGTAGTGGAGGCTTTGGCTTTTTAGTCACATCCCCTGTTCTTCTGGATATTACAGGTAAATGTGTACAGCACCTTCCTGGTACAAACAGGGACTGAATGACAACATATTGCTGAGGAGGCCATGGCATGGTCTCAGGTGCTGGTGTCACTGTTGGGGGAACTTTCTTACATCTGCTAGGAGCTCTTGGCTGGTATCAAGGCTTTCAGAACAAGTGTGAAGGGCAGCTTTGTCCAGTCAAAGAAGGAAGAATAGGTCTTGTTCCTTTTCTATTTGCTTTGCTCTAAGTATGCAGGAGGTTTTTATTTTCTTCTCTTTAAGTTTTTTGTGAGTGAAGATGACCTACATCTTTAGTTTTTTCCCTTGAAAGCTCTGGGGCAAAATTTTCTGATTTTTTGTTCTGTGTGGAAATGTGCAATTGACATGATTTTTGACAATTGTGCTGATGTTTTTGAAATTTTGAATGACAGTAGGGAATATTTTTGGCTTTTTTTTATGGTGTAATTTCTTTTTTTTCTTTTTTTCTCTCCCTACCTGTTGAGCAAAGCTGTGATAGTGGAAGTAGGACTGTACTGAGATTTGGGGGGAAAAAAAGTTTGATTTTTTTTTGCAATTACTTTATTCAGCTGAGAGCTACATGCCATCTTTGGGATCTTTCTTGTATGAGGGAAGAGGGGTTTGACTGCTTTGCTGGTTTTGGTGTTTCATCACTACCCTGTGATGGATTTCTGCCTATCTTAAGCATGTGACTTGTAATGCTTCTCACATATTGCAGAATAGGAACAGATTTGCAGAACTTGCAGATGTAAAAAAATACCTTCTGAAATTTCAAATGCAGTAGAACAGTGTTGTGCTAGGAAAGAAGGAATTGTGTGGGAGCCATAAACAAAAAGGGATGTTGGATGGTATGAAGGCAAGTGACTTCTCATTTCTGGGCAAATTTTAAGAAATGTCAGCGAAAGATGAGATGGATGCATCTGAATTGTAACAATCAGAAGCATAGGATCTTTCGTTCTTACACCTTCACAAATTTTGTTATTTCCATGTGTTTTTATTACAATATGACATGGAAAAAGCTTTAGTCAGGTTGGCTAGCCTAATGTACAGACAATAATAAATTTGAAAACACATAGAAGAAGTGGATTTTCCGGGTGGCTTATTTCATCCCTTTCTCTCTTACTGTGCAGAATTTTTTTGTTGCACTGGAAGCATATAAGAGATAAATTCCTGCTTTTTCATGCTGGGTGAGTATTCATCAGTTCCATGGGT